GCACCAATCAGAAACTTTACACGATGACGACAGCGCTGAGATTTTGAAGCAGATTTTGTAGCCTAACTTACATTACAAAGATGGATGCCGTCGTCGAACATCACTCGTTCGAATCAGCTATCGCGTCTGTTTTAAGCGATTTGAACGTTTCCTTTTTGTTAACGTTTCCTCGGAGATGTTTCTCCCCCCGCTCTGCATACGTCATCTCCTTCATCGCTCTGATTGGTTTTAGGTCTATCCGCGACGTCCGTTGGTGACGCCCCTCTGGAAATGATTTGTCTATGACGCTTTGCCAGACCATAACTCAGTTACAACTGAGAATGGTCTGGTTTTAACCAGGCTAAGGTGAATTGGTAATATGTGAGGGAATCGTGTTTGGGTATAAAAGGAGCATCCACTAAAGGCTAAGTCTTTGCCTGCAAAAATGGGTCATGGCTCACCACTTTGTGCCAAATTTCATGAGAGAATTGTCAAACAATTTAAAAATCACATTTCACAATGCAAGATTGCAAACTATTTAGGTATTTCAACTTCTTAATATAGTGAAAAAAAAATCCTGGGAATCCAGAGAAATCTCAGTCCGTCTAGGGCAAGGCAGCTACTCTGTTAAATATATCCACATGGACTCGGGAGTTCTTTGGAAAGCCATTTTCACCTAACACTGCCGCTGCATCAAGAAATGCAACTTTAATCTCTGTTACGCAAGAAGAAAGCTACACATCTGTTCAATGCAGAGATTCTGCCGAGTTCTCTGGGCCTGAGCTCATCTCAGATGGTCTAAAAGACAGTGGAAATGTGTGCTGTGGTCAGATGAGTCTACTTTTCAGCTTGTTTTTTGGGGAAAAACTGACTTTGAGTTCTCAGTCCCAAAGATGGAAAGGATCATCCAGACTTTCATCAGTGACAGGTGCAAAAGCAAACATCTCTCATGGCATGGTGGAACATTAGTGGAAAAGGTATGGGTGACTTGCATTGTGTGAAGGCACCATTGATGTGGAGGCGTATATTAAGATTGTACAGAGACATAAACTGCCATAAAGATGACATATTTCCTGGGAAGTAAGACAATGCCAGGCCTCACTCTGCACATGCTAAAACAGAGTGGTTTCTAGACACTCTAGTCTACACCATAGAAGGGATGTGCTTGACTGCCTGCCTGCAGTCCAGATCTGTCTGTTATTGAAAATGTATGGCACATCAGAATCAGACAACGGAGACCACAGACTGTTGAGCAGCTGTCTTGTATCAGGTGAGATTGGGCAAAAATTCCACTTGCAAAACTTCATCAAGTAGTATCCTCATTTCCCGAACATTCAAAAAGTATAATTATAAGGAAAGGTGATGTGACGCAGTGGTACACACGCCTCTTTCCCAACTTTTTTGGAGTGTATTGCAGCCATCAAAATCAAAATGTGTTTATATTTACAAAATACACTTGAAAATCTTTTCTTTGTACTTTTGTCAGTTAAATAAAGGTCAATGGTTAATAAAGGTTAAGTCATAGATTCTTGATTGTATTGCATTTTACAAAATGTAAAAATTTTCATTTTTCAAAATTTTCTGGATATTGTGGTAGTACATTGTGTGTGTGTGTGTGTGTGTGTGTGTGTATTTTGGTAGTATGTGTGTGTGATATATATACATTTAAGAAGCATTTGTCGGTGTACGCTGTCATTTAGAAGACAAAGGTTTCTGTAGAAGTTCTTTGTGTTCTTTTTAAAGAATTCTCCGTCGCTTAAATGACACCGAAAGCTTTCCTTATTAGCATATTTGCCTGAGAGTGAAACTGTCATCCAGCTGCACCAGCAATTAGCCAGTTTCATCATAAAGACTTGTATCAGCGGAAAAAAGTAATCATTTGCAGTAATGTGAAAGACCTTCCTCATGATTTCCTCATTAAATTATTCATAGAGCTTCCTCTTGCTTGTATATTTTCCATTTAGAATGACAAGGTTCATTATGAAGATGAAGCTCCTGACATATTTTTGTGTAACTCTTTTTACGGGGTCTTTTCTGATTATCTGGAACAAAACCACACACTTAAGTTATGGACCACAAGTGAGAAAAGAGTGAGAATAAAGGATGGAAAAACTTCAGACTTTACAAAGCAAGATTAAGAGGTAGAGTGAGAAAAACATGACTGTTTGTTTGCTTTGTTCACTGTCTATCCATGTCTCATCTGATGTGATATGACCTGATAAAGAGCAAGGACCCCGTGTTTCCAGAATCACCTAAAGTAGAAAGGAGGCACCCCACTTGCAACCATATCTGTGGAGAATCTCTTAAAGAAAATAAATCTGCCTCTCTCTCTCTGATGAGCACCTCCAACTGATAAGGTGTCAGATGTACCACTCCATTACTGTGACTGAGGTTGTTCTGTTTTTCTTTCATTTGAACCCCCACAGCAATAGAGAGAGTAATCAGCTCCTCTCCATGCTCTGTGCGAAGACCCCTGCCAGGTCTCTGATCCACCAACAGATATCGTTGTCTCTTAATGGATTAAAATAGGGTTAGACAAAATGGATATTATATCAAAGAGTGCATGTGTCTGGCTGCTTCCTCTGTTTTTGCAACGAATACGTGATCAAAACAACACGGAGAAACAATAGTTCTGAAGTGTCGAAATCCAAGCTGTGGTGGAACATGTTTGATTCAGCTGCTGCATGCACATTGGCATGGGTGTCTGATTTTATTTACCCAACTGTGCCCCAGTAAGACCATGCAATTGATATGAATGATTAAACAACAAAAGACATGTGCATCTTTGGCTTTTTAGAGTATTAAATGGTGGCTTAGCAGGGTTTTTTGTAATGTGTGACATCAAAACATTGTTGCCACTGTCATATGATCTCTGGAAAGTTAAGACAAACTGTATAAAGGGTGCCAGAATCCTCCCGAGGAGCCTTGACAGGCTCTACTCAGATGTAAAATTGTACAATGATACATGCAATTGTGATATGGAAAGGCAAAGCAAGACATTTTCCTTATGTGACGGCTAATTTGTGCCTCCAAGGAGCCTGATTAAAAACTGACATGGATCTGATTGCTCTGCCATCCTGAGGTAACACTGCCAACGTTGTCGCTCTCCTTTTCTTGTTCTTTTTTTCTATTCCATCCACACCCCCGCCCTCCTCTTCTACTTCTCTCTCTCACACACTTCTTTAAACCAGCCTTGGCTGAAGCAACCGTGTGAGCAGTGAATCCATTACCCGAGCGACAGCTCAATTCAATTATTAGACGGGCTAATAATCTGACTGAATTGATTGTTCACTATATCCCCAGTCAAATGGCTGATGGAGAGAGGATCATGTTTGGGATTGCCTTAAAGACAGGAATAGAGCGAGCACATGCTGAATATGACCAGGAGCTGTTCTTAATGAACACTACTCTTCCTCAATCTGAGAGGGTGGAACCCCAAACCATAATACGCCTAAGAAAATTATTTTTTTAGCGAACGACCAGTATTGTCTTCCATTATTATAACGTTGTTGCAAAAACAACACCGAACAGAAGGAAGAAAATGATTTTCATCCCATTAAACTCAACATCTAAACTGAGTGTTTTGCATTTCTCTTGATAGACTTCAAATGGGATTCTGAATAGTGATATTAGATCAGTTTTATTTTTAAGCATGATCCACATACACAGAAAAATAAACGTTCCTGCTTCAACCTTAAGCCACAAATGGAAAAGAAGTGGGTCAAACTGCAGTTTCAGTAGACTACCAATTCCAATCAACAAAGCACAATGGTTGTAGACATTCCAATTAGCAGGGCAGTAATGGATACCATAATTATAGACCTAACCTACAATTAAGCTCTGACATGATGACCAGAGTAATGGTCTTACAACATAATGACCTATTTTCAAAATGAGTTTTTCTGAGCATAGTGCTGTGATTTTATGTGTGCAACACTGTATTCATTGTTAAAAATGGTGTTACTCTAAAAGATAAAGTCAGCTTTGAAATAGGGGAAACTGGGGAGTGTTGTAATATGAGGTAAGTTGTAACTCATCTACCTTCAAAATACAGTGTGGCTTAATACCCTATTGCTTTTTTACCTTATACCTTAACGTAGGCCATATTAAAAATGAAAAATATTTTTTATTGAAGCATTTTTTTTTTTTGCAACTGAATCGCTATAAAGCCAAAACAATCTCTGTTACCGTAAATTGTATGTTTATCTCTGTAAAGCTGCTTTGAAACAATCTCCATTGTTAAAAGCGCTATATAAATGAAGATGACTTGACTTGACTTGACTTGAATTTACTGTTATACAAGATAAATAACAGACATTGTGCAATGGTATTAACAGGTGTTTCTGTCAGAGATGTTAGAACAGCTTTAAAGTTGTATTGACAAATCGGAAGTCACAGCCATAGCTGTTAATTTATTAACACCCAAAACATTATGTTAAAAACAAACCAACAAAAATAATTAAGATAAAATATTTTATAAAATGTTTTATTTAGGCATTTTTTTTATTTAGTTTTTATTAAAATGTTTGTTTATTTTTATTTTAATTAAAGTGGAGAACATGACTATCTTGTAACTAAAATGTTAAAGTACTGACAATAAATCTACCCACACCTATAGCTATATAAACAATTTGTGATAACTAATTTGTATCAGACAGATATGGAAATATTATATCAAAGAGATAGATAAAGTAAAAAAAAAAAAAAGTAAACTACGCTACAGACGATTAAACAAAATATGTGCAGTCCCTGGTTTTCCATATGGCTGTCATGTCAAGTTTTAACAAACTAAAGCGGGTAAGTGCGAGATTAATATAGATATTATGTATTTCCAAACGATCTTTATTCGTTTTATCAGCTGTATTTCTCAATGAGAATTGTGTCACTTTTTATATATATATATATTTTTTTTTTTGATTGAGACGAGAAGGTTTTTCATTCCCCAGTGGGGGCTCAGCTTTCATCCGCCTGTTTTGATTGGAGGAGGATTTTAGAGGCCGGTTTAACAGTTGCGTTGGCCGCTCGCTTCGGATGGGACCGCGCGACAGGACAGATGAGAAACTGCTTCCATCTGGAAACGCAGGGAGAGAAGGAGGGCTGACTCGACACAGTCACCGGCAGTAAGACACACACATCCTACTTGCGTTGCATCGCACTGGTCATCATCATTCCGGCTGTTGGAGGAGCAGAGCGAACGTGCGCGCAGAACAGCTGCACCTGACTGATCGTGGACATACCTCAGTTTTATTTCACCAGTCTTCATTTAACAGTTGCCTTCGATACTTACTTGAAGAAGGGAAAAGAAAAGAAAGAAATCAACCGGGCTTTTACGTTTTGCTTCAATTCTGGGAGAGGACTTTTCCAAGGAGGACCCTGCGTCTGGAGTGCTAATACACAGACTGCTCTTGTTGGATGTTGATTGTTGGTCAAAGAGAAGAAGTGGCAGCGTTTAGCCGCTTTTGGGACCACCACTGGACAACCGGTGTCGTGTCTGAAAGTGTTCAAAGGTAGGAAGTGATGATGGTGTTTACGACTGAAATGCGCATCACATCAACGCTGGACAGCAAGAGCTGGCTTCAGAGGAATGGAGAGGACGGGTCAGCCTTTCTCAAGCTGTCCTCCATCCCTCAGCAGACAGCTCTTTTGCAGTGACTGCACACTTTACCTATTGTAAACCATGCACACTTTAGTCAGTTGCAAATGTGAGGTGCGTTTTGCTTTCGTAGACAGTTTGACGAGAAGCTCAACTTTTAGTTTGTAGCTGCTCCTCGCGACAATGAGCACGACGTGGTGGAGATGCATTGCGTTCCACTGCCTGAGTAAAAAAAAGAAAAAAAGATGATCTTAAAATCACTATTCTATAGGCTATTAGTGCAGAATAAACCCGGCAGTTTTATTTTTTGTGGTTATACGACGTCGTCATTATCTTAGTTTAGGCTATTTGATTTATTTCCGTGACTTTGGCAAGATATTTGGGACTGTCGATCATCGAGAGTGTTGTGAACAACTTTCCATGCAGCTTTAATATAGCCTAATATCCAGAATACAGATTCCATCTAGTGCACAGTGCAGGCATGGTGTCCGCTGTTTGTTTATTAATTAATTTATTCAAGAATATATTTTTATTTAGGCTATACAAGTGATTAGGCTTTTCCCCCATCACGAGCTTTTGGTTTGTTGAAAGGAATGCGCGTCGCCTGTCGCTGGAGTGAATCCACAACGCCTCAGCATTCACTGCGGGGAATGGAGGAGTCGTGAGGGTGGTGAGAGAGCACAACCCCGGGCATAAAAAAAGAGTCATATACCCCCCATTGCGAGAATCACACCATGAATCATTACACAAATCCGCTATGAACAATATCAGCTCTGTAGGACACGCAGAACTTGTCAAGATAGTGAGTGATTCAGTGAAGCGAATTAGTGCGTTTGTTCGTGTTTGGATCGGAGTGGTGAGGATTTTACATTTGTAAATTAGGTTTGATTTTTATTTTTTATTATATATATAATATATTTAGAAATGTGTTGTCAGACTCAATGCAATGTGATAGGTAGCCTATACGATTATAAGATGTCTGTGACTGTGTGGCCTAACAAGAGATAGGCACAAATATTAAACAAAGACTAAGTCCAATTTTCCTAATCTCAGCAATCTAATATTTAGAGATAAATGTGTGGGTATTATTATTATATTTAACAACAACAACAACAACAACAATAATAATTTAATAATAATAATAATAATAATGATGATGATGATGATGATGATGATGATTGAAGAACACCATGCATGCTCACATGCATTCAATAGAGGGTGCTGTTGTTCTTTTCAGTTCTGGCCCAGTTTGCTTACCACAGTTTTGTCTCGGAGGGCCACTCAAAAAGATTGAGCGCCACCGTCTGTGTTGCTCATGCTCCCCAGGGATGCAGAATTCAATCTAGCAGAGGCTCTGGCTAATGCTGTGGCACTTTGTCAGGATTAACATCTTTCTAGTCAGTGGCTTCTGTTACCTTTGGTGTCACATTACCACCTTGGAGTTGTGTGCAGGGAGAAAAAATGAAGCCCCGGTATCTTGCTCTTGCATTGTGCTGGGTGCTGCGCTGCTTCAGTCCCACATCACTGCGGGTCGATAGAGGAAGAGACTCAGTCATTTTCAACAAATAAACGCATTTCTTATGGTGACCTTTGAAGCTTCTCAAAGAGCCCTTTTTTGCTGAGTTTAATTTTCAATTAAAGAAAAGAATACCTCAGCTAGAACTGATTTTCAGAGCTCATCTGATCAGTCCATATTCTGTGAGGGAGCATTTAATTATAGGTTTCATTAAAGCAGATCTTTTGAAAAGAAAAAGCGAAGTTACGATCAGACAAACAGTGGTTTTGCACATCAATTGGGCTTTGGTTAAAAAAAAAAAAAAAGTAAATTAATCTCCACACCTATAAATTCAGTCATGTTCATGCATGAAGAAAGTCTTTCCGATTCTGCTGGCAGCCTACATGGCAGTTTGGTCTCATTGTGGTGGGTTCTACTCACGCGCAGAATAATGATGATTATACCAGCACTTGGACAGGACCAAGTTGTTCGTGCCAACTGTCTCCAGTGCAGGAATCTCATGCCATCTGTTAGTGACCTTGGAACACATAAATACAATTTTCTGACTGGTGGCTTGGTACTGTGTGATAACTCTACATTTTCTATTGTATTAATTTTTTTTTTTTTTCTTGGGGATTGCTTGGCATCCCTCATGCAGATGCCAAGCATGCCTAAACGTAATTAATTATATATATATATATATATATATATATATATATATATAGCTTGTTTGGACGGGGGCCTTCATCTTCAACTGTGAAGTGCTTTTTACAAAGAGTCATGAAGAGAGTCTACTATGAAATACGGTGGATGAAATATGGCAATAGGAGAATAAATTGGATTTTTTTTTAAAAATTACCCATCAAATAATTATTAATAGAGTATTTGACACAGTGGAGAATTATAGCTTCATTTATACAAAGCAGCCCTCATGCTGAACGTGGTTGCACTAATCACTGCGTGGGTGCTGGATAACATCCATTCACCCTTATGAGGAGCAATTAGCAAGGCAGAAAATCATACACCCTTTTATGTGCTAACTTTTAGAGCAGGGGTGCTTTTCTTTCTTTCTTTTAATGCCTTACTTTACAAGGCAGTGCTATGACAAACATAACTCATCATTCATGGTCTCACGACTAATGCAGTGGGAAGATGTTGAGATTGTGGAAAAAATGCCTAATGAACAACACCTGAGAGGATCTTAGTGATACAGACATTTGTGAGGATGAATTGATATGAACAGTGTGAGATGAGAAACCACATTGTGTCAGTTGCAGTTGGGTGTTTTTTGTTTTATGAGAGATATGTTATCTAAATGTTGGCAATCTGAAGCCAGTTTATGGTGTTTTACCGTTTTACTGCTCTGAAAATGCATTGGATTATGAATGAATACATAGAGAATGCATTGTGAATTTGCTGCCAACGGTATGGCTTGCTGGTTTTACTAGGCTTCGCTGTTAATATTCTTCATTTACTCTGGATGGCCTGGAGTGTGACAAGCCAAGTAGATTTTGTCAAAGCAGTTTGGAAATCCTTTTTTTTTCTGATGTCAAGACCAGTCTTTGATCTAGCACTATATCATAACACTGTTTTTTAACCTTTGCCTTTGAAGACCATGATGTAACTCAACTTTCTTTGACTGTTGTATCCTCTATTATTTTATGGATGAAAATACATAGATAATGCACAGCACATTTTCAAATGATTCAGTTCCATTGGTGTTCTCATGCTTGCATTTATTTTGAAATGCAGAAAAATAGAATGCAGTCATTAAATTACTTTATTACAAATACTTTTTATATATTTTATTTTGTTGAGGGACTATCAAGCACAGATTTTATTTTTATTTGTGGTATTACCTCACACATGGAATTGTTAATGGTAAGCTAGTACATTTAGGATTGCCATTATCTGTGTGGTTTGACATGGGTTTTGTGTTTGCTTTAATTGCACATATTTTTTTCTTAATCTATTCAGTCATATATTTTAAATTAAATCAAATTTTACATATTTAAAGTATGTTGACTAATATTTAAACTTTATCCTATTAGACCTAGTCATTAAAAAAAATCTTGAAATATTTTTTTGCTGAAATTAAACCAAAATACCAAATCATGCTGCGTTCTCATAGAGCTGACCTTTAGAAAGTAAGCACTGGTCATAAGTGATGTGACTTGGGTATATGGCCAGTAATAGGCCTGATTCTTCTTTCAGACTTGCTTGGCCGCAAAACAGCAGATAACATTATCCTGAACCCATTTCCACACAACGCAATTAGACATGAGACGTGTAACCTTTTCTTCAGTAATGCATCCTAAGACAGAAGTTCTTTAACACCCCCTCCCTCTTTTTTTCCTCTCAGTTTGAATTCCAGTCGTAATGCTAATAATAAAACACACGCGATGGGTTAGATAAAGTAAGCACAGGATTTTTTTATTCCTCACATAACGTAATACACATAAAGGTGAAAACATGTGGTTGCATTAATATGGTTTTCTATGCATTAGTTCTTCCTTTTGTTCCAAGAAATCCTGGAAGTAAACCAGTAGCTTATTTGTGAGTCCAGATACCAGCCATCTGGTAAGTGTTGCCAAGGGTTTGCACAGGTTTACAACTCTTCCTTTTGGAGTGGGAAAGGGGTGGGAGGATGAACTGATCTGCAATGACATGCTCCATTACTCCTTCTTTGCATCTGCAATAAAGCTAATTGTTGGGTTTCCCAATCATGTTTAAGCCCAGCATTGCCACAATGCACATTCACACTAATATTCAAGACACTGAAGACAATGAGCATGGGCTGCATTTCTCGCAGACCAATCAGAAACAGCGCACCGCCACAAATGGATCACAAATACCCCCCTCCTGTTCCTTCTGAAAGTGAACTAACATATTTTAATTTATAGATCAACCATAGCCTGCAATCAGAGCGTTAAGTGCTCTAGGTTCATTATCGGGTGGCATATGGTGATGCATTTGCATAATACGCTAATACTTACTCCAACTCTGTCCTATCTATCACTGTGCTATTGGCAATGTGTGATTTTGTGCAATTAAACTTTTCCCTGAGATACTCATTGTTCTTTTGTATAATTAAGTCTTCGAATGTAATGAAACAATAGGGAAGAACACAACTTGACTCACAACCTGATCGTTATAATTTCGCACAACGTGTATTGGAGGGTCTCTAAATGCATGGGGTGTGTAAATCACAGCGTTTTGCTGTCTTTAAATGTTTATTTGTTGCCTCACCAGCCTAGAAATGACCAGAACAAAAAGGAAAAGACAGAGAATGGCAGTCATGATGACAGCGGCTAATGTCTGACATTTGTCTCCGTAGCTAGTTGTCTCTTAAGGTTTGCAAACGCCACGCCATCACATGGGTTTTTGTAGCAACGTTCAAGTGGCTAATGGTAATGAAT